ATGTCTGAGGGGAACTTACTGTCTTTAGAAAAGTTTAGATGGTATTTTTTCTTTTCCTCTTGCCTCTGTATAATGCGTATTAAAGTTCATAAGTGCAGCGCTGCTTTGTTTACAGCGGAAACCAAGGAAAGGGTTTAAGCGCCACCTGCTGGCAGAGAGAGCATCTGCGTCTCATTCAGCTCATCTGCTGCTTCTGTTTCATGCAGATATTTATGCATAGTTTCACAAAACTGAAGTCAAATTGAGAAATTATACAATCTAATTTAGATTAAAAACTGCTCATGTTGCGTGTATGCAGCATCTTTGTTTGGATCAAGATTAAAATGCAGTGGTTGCCTCTAATTTTAAAAGGAAAGAGCACAGACAAAGCCTTAGTTTGTTTATATGAAGAGATTTATTTTATTTGTGTTACTTATGTATTTTATTTGGGGCTTGTTTTAAAATTTCAATTTAGTTTTGTTATTTAAATTGTCATTTAGTAGACGCTATTATCCAAAGCGACTTACAAAAGGACAACAGAAGCAATCAAAACCAATAAAAGAGCAGTAATATGAAAGTGCTATATTAGTATATTATTATAGTTATATTTCAATTTCACAAAGAAATGTGCAGCATTTTGTCCAAGCAATAATAAAACTACACATTTAATTTATAATTGGTCTTAAATTTCATTTTGTAAAAAAAATAATAAAAAAATAATAATCGTGAATCGAATCGTGAGTTGAGTGAATCGTTACATCCCTATAAAAAACTAAAAGATTTGACTGAAAACAGAAAAAAAAGAAAAGAAAATCACAATAGAATTAATAAACTAGCATTACCAATGATATTATCAGTCCAATAAACAATTTAGCAATGTGTAAATTTAACTGAAATATGTAATCAATTAAAACACAAAGGGCCAGGGAGTGTGCAGACCTGCTGGGGTCATGCAGCGTCACGCTGCGTTTACTGACCTGTAACAGGAGCGGCAGCAGGAATCGCAGAAGCTCGTCCTCTCCAGGTCTGATCTTCTCAAAACACTCCAGCACCCAGGTGAGGAACTCGTGTCTGTCTAACATGCCATCCTGTTACACATGTACACATACACACAATTAATAACCCCACCAACATACACAAAAACACTCCCCTTTTGATAAATTACCTAAAACATTGTGACAGTGGGCAGTATGACATATCTTTAATGTGGCATGACAACTGATCGTATCAATTTTTCGGAGACAGGCGAAAATATATTAAAAACATCTTATCATAAAAATATCCTTTTCTCTGGCTCACTTAAGTCCTTTTATATGACTTGGGATCCCTATATTAAAGGTCTACCTTTTGCACCTGTAACTGGCATGGCAACATGTAATATTTGTCATCTGTTAGAAGGATTTTTTACTTATATAGTAGTTCATTATATCCATTTTATTCCACTTGTTATTATTTATTTATTTATTGCTTTTCTGCCCATCTGAGACAATATGAACGCGGGGGGATTGTGGAAGGGATTAATAATAATATCTTAGTGTTTACCTTGATATCGTTATTTCAATGTGTACTGTCACAAAAACCACCAATAAAAAGATTTGAAGTAAAAATATCTTCATTTGTGTTTCAAAGATTGGGTTTGGAATGACGAGGGTGTATAAATGATGACGCTTTCTAATCTTTGCGGGACATAATTCCAAGTTTCTTTGTTGCACTCAGTGCAAACTAACAGCCCTCTCTATTACATGAAGACAGCAGCACCGCATCTGTAAATAAAACTGGGCTCACCTACCTGGAACATGAACATGGCCAGCTTCTCGTTGTACTCCCATTGCTTCATGGCGGTTTCCACCTCAGCAGGAGGAGCGGGCAGAGGAGACCCACAGCCCTGGCTGGGAGACTGTCTGTAAAACTCTGCCACCTTCTGCAGCTGCTCCCACAGGTATTTAGTAATTATCTGAGTCCATTCTGCAGAAGCCAGATAAAGCCAGTGAGGCATTGCAGCACAAAGCACAACTACACAGCACAACAATCTTCATTCACAGATTAAACGAGGACAGCGCTGCATGTTCGATTATTATACGAGCATATAGAGCGATGCACAATAACTACACTAACCTATGCAGGGGTCAATGACGTGCCTCTTCTTCACCTTGGTTTCGGTTATGGCGGCGTGATACGCACACGTCATTTTAATCATCCAAGCAGATCGCATCACCGGCACACAGTACTTGGCAAGGTAGCCAAACACTTCCTCTTTCTTGCTGAAGATGGGAACCTAGTGCACACACACACAGCAATTAGTCAAGCTTAAAAACCATTTGACCTTGTAATGTGAAATGTAGTAATGCTTAGAAGTTTTTGTGTGCTGTTAACCACATGTTCTGGATCTGCACAGGCGCTCTGTTCAGAGTTTATACACCGCAGCGTGGCAAAAGCGAACCTTTTTAGCGAGCTGAGTTAAGGGTTTGGTCCCGGCCAAGTCTGTGAACCAGTTATTAATGGAGCTCTGCGACCGCGCCGTGACGAGCCAGAAGTTGTCCTTCTGATTGACCTGTGGCTTCCTCTTGCCGGTGTCTGGAAATGTGTTGCAGCGTAACTTCTCCGCAATGATGCTGCTGAAGTTTGAGCTGATCTGAAAAGCAGAAGGTAACAGGAATGCCAAGTGATAAAGAATGAGGTTGGTGGGTTGGTTGGGGTTTTAACAGCACGCCAGCTTCCTTGGTTATTTTCATAGCGAGTAACAAGTTGAAATAGCATAAAAGGGCAATTTGTCAGGTTTTTTTATACTTCAGATTAAGATTTATTTAGATTAGAGTTTTAGATTAAAAATGGATTCGGGTTTGACTTCGCCTTCAAGATCTTCATTTGATATTAAGCACTTGTGTTTTACTTAGTTTCTTTTATATACATATGTGACCCTGGAGCACAAAACCAGTCATAAGTCGCTGGGGTATATTTATAGCTTAGCCAACAATACATTGTATGGGTCACAATTATCGATTTTTCTTTTATGCCAAAAATCATTAGGATATTAAGTAAAGATCATGTTCCTTGAAGATATTTTGTAAATGTCCTACTGTAAATATATCAAAGCTTAATTTTTGATTAGTAATATGCATTGCTAAGAACTTCATTTGGACGACTTTAAAGATGAAATTCACAATATTTAGATGTTTTTGATTTTCAAATAGTTGTATCTCGACCAAATATTGTTCTACCCTAACAAACCATACATCAATGGAAAGCTTATTTATTCAGCTTCAGATGATGTATACATCTCAATTTCATACAATTGACCCTTATGACTGGTTTTGTGGACCAGGGTCACATTTATCCATCCATTCATTATCATATAATCACTTTAATGTTCCATTTAATCATTTATAATAATAATTTAAACCATCTGTATACTTGTTTAATTAACTAGCCATTTAAATTATTTTATTTGTATATTATTTTCCATTGTTGTTTAGTCTTACGATTGTGGTTTTAAGGGATATTTGTCTTCACGAGTAAGAGATATGTTTTTTTAACGTCACAGGACGATGTTGTGAAGCAGTAATTTTCCATTGCTATTGCTTGTGGTATAACAACGCTTGTTGGATTTGTGCGGGCCAGATGAAGTCTGAGCACTGAAACATGCACAAATAAGATTATTTAATAAACTCTGCACATTTTTTTTTTTTACCGTCATTTCATGATCTCCTGCTTTTGCTCTTCTCTGGCTTTACTCGGTAGACTTCTCAGCTGACTGAAGATTAATACAGTTTTGGGTAGCAGAGTTATGAAACACTTTTCAATATCTGTGATGAATATCGTATTTGTTCGTTCCTTGGGACACCACAATGACCCGATATACCCGACAAAGTTCTGTGCTTCCGACAATTTGTAAAAGAGTGAGTATTTGACTGATAACATGCATGTATGCAGATAACCTCTGCACTGATAATCTTACCTTTGAAGGGTTGAAATTGACATTTTTAGCGCTGCCATGCTCATCGCCTGAAACAGCTGGCTGGTTGTTAAATCCTTGCTTGACGTTCAATGCCGTCAAATCATCCTAACCATGAGAGAGTGATAGTTTCAGTTATTAAAGGACTCATGCATGCATATCCCATTCTCATTTCATTGTGCTGGAGGGTTACTCAAACGCCAGAGACTTAATCACTCATTCATCAATGAGTGCTTCAATCAAAATGCATCAAGACAAACACTGAATTCAGAAAGAAAAATCTGCACGAGCAATTATAAGATGCATGATGCACTCTATAAAATGAAACAGATATTCAAATATACTTTCATATGTATTTTCTGTTGCTGACAACTGAGACTGTGTCTAGCTAAACCGCACCTAAAAGCATTTTTATGCATCATAGGCACGTACATAATTTCTCCTTTTTCTGTGCATGAATAGATCATTAATGTACAAAATGTTTTAGGAGCCCATAGGTTTTAAAAAGCATGCATGAGAAACACATCAATTTAAAAGGAGTTGTCAACAAACATACTAGAGGCTATTGGGATTGTTTATATCTTTAGTGTTTATTTGCAAGCAATATAGATTTATTTATTTTTTAAAATGCATATTATTTTTCATGTGTGGCCCTTTTAAATTGCACTGTAACGATGAAAGGGCTTTAAATAAAAAGCACGGTTAAATACAGATTCTTAAACCTGGGTTTCACAAATAAAATAACCCTTTCCACTCTCTAACCATCTGCAATAACAACCACAGATGAAGACCGAGATCATTTGAGGCATAACTGTTGTTTTTTCTGTCCTGCTAACCGAGCCGCTGGCTTCATTGTTTATTGGACGTTAGCTGACGGCGGGGCCTGATCTCAACAGCCCTGAAAACACACTTTAATTCGCTATTTAAATATTAAATGTCGCTACAGAGGAAGAGAGAAAGTCGACTAACCTCCTTTTGCTTCGGGTCCTGCGGATAAACGTCCGGAGGACCGAGTCTGGGCCGTTTGAGAGGCCTGTGTTCGTAGCTCAGAATGCCGAAGGCAGCCATCATCCCCGCGGCATGTCAGCCGGTGTGTGGCCGATCCTGAGCGCTGCTTCTGCGGCTAGAGCTCCGCTGCTTCACCGCTGCTTCCGCTCCGACGAGAATGATGGGTAAATACGAGACAACATAAAAGTCCCTCCAACAAAACAAGTTTTTTTATTGCAATTTTTAGAACGACGAATGTGCGAGGGCAATAATATAAATTACATGAAAATATATATAGTAAAAAAAAAACAAAGACAATTAAAAAAATTATAAAATAGGAAAAGCAATAAGAAATTCACATGTCCATAAGCAGTGTTGGGGAAAGTTACTTTTAAAAGTAATGCATTACAATATTGCGTTACTCCATATAAAAAGTAACTAATTGCGTTACTTAGTTACTTTTTATGGAAAGTAATGCGTTACGTTACTTTTTAAGCTGAACAGGGTTTGCTTGTTTGTTTTTAAAATTTATTCAAATAATATATTTAAGGTTTCAAAATAATTTTTCGCTTTGTAATTTCTTGTTTATTTTAATTTCTATTTTAAAATGAGTAAAATGAGTTTTTTTCACTGCCCGTTTACATTTGTGGATGAAGAAGTTTCCATATATAATGAGTAAATTCACTATATACCATATTTTGAAGTCAACAGTATGCTCCTAGTGTTAAAAACATAATTTTCTTTGAATTGCAATTCAATCATTTTGTTTAACAAAAAAAGCCAAATCACACCAAAATCACTTTGTCAAATCAAAATAAATGGACAATACTCTGTTTCCTCTTTACAGAAAACACACTTCAAGTCAATGTCTTTACGAAACTTTGCAATGACCTGTTTTACAGGATAAACACGATGAACAATTTTAAATGATGCCTAATTTTATTTGTGATACAAAAACGTCTGGAGATCTTGAAGGTCTCTTTCCAGTTGGCATCTCGAAATTGTGATCTCCAAAAACCGATGGCTAAAGGAACACTGGAAATTTGGCATTTTTACTTGTTATATCAGGAGGTCCCACAGCGTCGTTCTGGTTCATTTGCTTTGTGGTGTTTTTGATGAATGATTATATTAGCAAGTGAAAAATGCTTTTTAAGTTTACTGTTCAGGATGATAAAAGTCCTAAGTGAGTGCCATGGATAATGAGTAATGTTTCATACATAATGTTTATATAACGTTTGTCTTTATATAATGTATGCCATGTCAAAAAAAAGTCCAGACAGGTAAAATAACGCATAATTATAAACCACATTGAAATTGACTGACAAAAGCTATTAAAACACACACACACGTTGGGTTTCCAAGTTATATTGTAACTTTCCATAAACAATTTATACTGTACAAACTGTATATTTTACCCCTTAACCCTCACAGAAAACATTTGTATTTTTACATTTTCAATAAATAAAATAATATTAGATTTATAAACTGTTTCCCCAAAAAGTGTCACCACAAGGTCAATTTTTTTTAAACTAGGGTTTACCTGTACCACACACACACAAAACCCTTAAATGTATAAATATAATCTTTATTCAATAAAGCATTTTTTATAACGATCATAAAACAAGTGTTCACAAAACTATAATCTCTGGATCATAACGAACAAGGCAACTCTTAAAGATTAGCATATCTAAGTTTGTGAACCGATTTCTCTTCATCTTGATATTTCCAAGATAACAGATGCTGCACGGTATGGCATATATATTTATAAAAAAAAAATAAATAAATAATAAAAAAAAATATATAGACCCAAATTCTTGCATAATTCAGGTACCTAAATGTGCAATTTTCATCCTGAAAAATAAAAACAACCAAGTCATCCATTCCTGAAGAGATCACACAGTGTAGTCTTGATGTGAAGTAGTACAGGCACTCCTCGAGAATGAATGAGATATTTAGCATTAATATTTCCCAGCCTCCACGTGTGCATGAAACTACCTTGATTTCTGAAGTCCCTTTAGATTTCATGAATCTTCTGAGAATATAATCAACCCAGCATAATGAAAAACACCACAGCAGATGTGATACAAGATTACACAGAAATATGCACTTAGAATACAAATAAGAACAGCACGGTCTCGTTGAATTATTGCAAGAACTCACATTGTGCATTTTTGTCACTAAAACACTATTTGCACAATGCTTTTGACAGCTATGTAACAGCAGAGGCACAAAACGTACACGGTATGAGTAACAACGAAAGCACAAGGAAATGCTACAAAATCATTCTAATAAAAATAAAAGGTTTTGTGCAGAATGATTGATACGATTGATCTTTGGTTGGATTCATATATGCCTGAAAATGCCAGATAAAAAGAAGGCAAATCAACAGGTTACCTTACGGTCGATACATATCTTGCATACTTTTATAAAGCAAAAAAAAAAAGCTGAACGACAGGAAAACAAATACATTATCAGTGTGCAAAATTTACTTCGACCAAACACAGGCAGAAGGGAGTCGTCTTGTTGGGGACTTGTTCAGACTGAGTCCAGATGCTTCTGCGGCAGGCCAGTAACACAAATAAAGTGCCATCAACATCTTCTTCAGGACATCATACACTATATAGTCTCTCTGTGTGCTAACTATAACAATATCGTCGTCTTAAAGTACAACAAACAAACTGACAATCTCAGTTTGAGCAGCTTCAAGGATTTCAGTCTGGTGGCTCCGTGTCTTCAGTGCCTGCTGACTTCTTACGGGTGGCTAAGTGTTTCTTCTGCTGCCACTATCATGGCACGAAAACGTGAGTTTTCATCGGCCAGCAGGTTTGAAGGGGTGTCAAACTCCAAAATCTATTTCAAAAACAACAAGACATGACTTCGACTTACTGTATATAATCCATACTGCATATATATATATATATATATATATATAGTAGGGCTGCACGATTATGACAAAAATCATAATTGTCGATTATTCCCTTGAAATTGTAATTGCGATTATTAATTACGATTATCACAATTTACACTGAATGATGTTTATACCACTGTTTGATGCAACTGCATGCCGTATTTTTATATGAAAATAAACAAGCTGAAAACACTAACTGAAAAACCTTTAGTGCTTTTCTATAGTATTAATCCTCAAATGTCAACTATACATCAGATTGGTTTCTTCTTTAAATTATAAAAAAGTAAAAATATGAATGGTATTATAATGTTATACTAAAACTAAAATGAAAATAATGGGAAAAACCCTTAAGACAACATGTAGAAAGAAATAAACGCATCTTAAGGATGCAGAATAACATAAGTGGACTTTGAACGATTAATTGCCGCTTTGAACGATTACGTAATTGTGGCATCCATAATTGTAATCGCGATTAGAAATTCGATGAATTGTGCAGCCCTAATATATGGGCATTATTTTGACACAAAATATCAAACCAAGTCCAATCTCAAAGCATAAAGGGGTCATATGATGCGATTTCAAGTTTTGCTTTCTCTTTGGAGTGTTACAAGCTGATTGTGCATAGATAAGATCCCTGAAGTTGGAAAGACTAAAGTCTCAAAACCAAAGAGATATTCTTTATCAAAGTTAAGACTCTGCCACGCCCCCCTAAAACGGCTCGTTCTAACACGCCCCCACATATCTACCTCACTATGTGGAAATATTTACATAATGCCGCCCAAATGTGCACGCAAAGAAAGAAGGCGTGGTTTCAGTAACCGCAGTTAGTGTTGATGCAGCATGTCAGGGAGACGCTGTGCGTTTCTAGGTGAAAGCAAAAGCACTTTATTTGGTCTTCCGGAAGTAGATGCGTTTAGAAATCTTTAAGATTACTTACAACAGCAATGCATTTTATGGACAATCGTTTCGTGAACCTAGGAGAAGAGGTCATTCTGACTTTGCTATGACAATCTGGCGCTTCTGAATCAGCTACTGTTTTGTGATTAGTTTAAGTATTTGCTATTGACTGTTCAAATGCGGAGTTTTGCTTTATAATACTCACACTTCACTGTTCTGAGTCAGTTATTCTACACATAAAACGAATGCATCAGATAAATGTACTTACACTTTGAAAACATGACACTGTTAAACATTTAATTGCAACTGCATATGTTAATGTTAGTTTGACAGCTCGCTCTCTCTCTCTCTATGTATATGCACTGCAGATGTTAAATGTTTAACAATTATGTTAACACATTTACATCTAATTTGACATTTAACTAATTCATTACGCTCTGTGAGATTTCTACAGACTGCACCTTTGGGTCAGATTATCACTTTAACTATGAACATGAACAAAGCATTATATCTATGCTTATTTTGTACATTATATCTATACTTGTATCATTTAAAAACTAACAAACTTGTGTTTTGTGGATGTTTTCCCCCTAAAATGTGTGCTTGAGCTGTTTCTTATAAATGCCACTTGGTTTAATGTTTTGTTGTCTATGCACTTAAACATAACGGTGAGCGGTATTGACAAAAAACAATCTCAACACTTTTGGGGAAATTTGTCGATATCAGTAACTAGACAATATTTAGCTGTGTGTGTTTTTATGCTGGTAATTTAGGCCTGTTGTGACTCCCAATGTTTTTCATATTCATTTGTGACCCTGGAGCACAAAAGCAGTGTTAAGTCGCTGGGGGATATTTGTAGCAATAGCCAACAATACATTGCATGGGTCAAAATTATAGATTTTTCATTTATGCCAAAAATCATTAGGATATTAAGTAAAGATCATGTTCCATCAAGATATTTTGTAAATGACCTACTGTAAATATATCAACGCTTAATTTTTGATTAGTAATATGCATTGCTAAGAACTTCATTTGGACAACTTTAAAGATGATTTTCTCAATATTTAGATTTTTTTGCACCCTCAGATTCCAGATTTTCAAATAGTTGTATCTCAGCCAAATATTGTCCTATCCTAACAAACCATACATCAATGGAAAGCTTATTTAAATGGTGTATAAATCTCAATTTCGACTGGTTTTGTGGTCCAGGGTCACATATTATATTATGTGTGTTTTTTAGTTCACAGCAGCGACAGAAATAACATGTTCACTAATGTGTGATATTTGCCACCTTAAATAGATTTCTAGGGACATTTTTACATTTTTCACAGGTGTGTTTGTTTGTTTTTCAGAGCGAGTGATACAGTCTACTTGTCAGCTTCCGCACTGTTAAAACAACTATGATATTAGCTGACACATATCGCTCACCCCTGCTCATAAACTCTCACTGTATCATTGTCATTAAAACAGCAGCAGATGAAGGAGGAGACCCACCTGCCCCTGGTCCAGGACCATGATCCTGTCACAGTTCAGCACAGTGTTGAGGCGATGCGCGATCACGAGAGTGCTGCAGCCACTGAACGAGGTGCGAATGGTGTCCTGTATGAGGCGGTCTGTCTCTGTGTCAATCGCAGCTGTTGCCTCGTCTAACAGCAGGATCTGAAACACACGTCACAAGATCACATGCAGCACATGAATCACAATACAAATCTGTTTAACGGCCAGTTGTTGTTGTTGTTTTTTTTAATTAACTTCTAGACCCCATGAAATGGTTTGAAGAGCACAGGTTTTTTTCCTGTGTTGGCTTGTCTAATTGACACTGTGGCAGGACACATCGAATGGCTTGTCTCGTCATTTTTAGAACAGCCAATAGTCACAAAACATGATTTTTGATCAGGTAAATACAAAAACGATTCAGTAAAAAATTGTGTTTATTATTTAAACTGTAACATTGTCTAAATCAGTGGTTCTCAACCAGGGGACCTCAGCAGGATCTTACAATATGACAAAACAAGTATTAAAATAAGCTGAAACGACAAAAAATAAGATATTTCTTAATTCACCCCCTCAACGACCGTTTTGTTTGAAGAACCAGTATTCCCACTGTCCTGGAAAACCCGGAAATATGAGACAGTCTCATTTTAAAAGTGATTTCTACTTTCTTTCTTTCTAAATAAATAACAAAAAAACAATTAAAAAAAAAAATCCTTAGGATTATTAATAATGAATACACATTTTTCTAGTCATGCCATGCTCTAAATTAGAGTACAAACTGTATGTAAAAATATTTTTAAATCACAAATTAAATGTAAGACGTAAATTCATTAGCTAAAAAGAGTGGGATCCTTGAAAAATATTCAGCTCCTAAATCTTTTGGAATCCTGAAATGTAATGATTTTAATTTTAATTAAAATCATTTTAATGACTTATTTTAACTTACAGAGACTAGGAGTGGCCATAGTTGATCAAACGCACCAAGGGTTGGGGGCCTTTTGATATTTTTGTGCAAAATGTGGGGCCTTGGAGACAAAACACTGAGAACCACTGGTCTCAATTTTTCCCTGAAGAGGAATTATACTGTATATCTATGTGTCACTGACATAATTCATGTATTCTATTGTAAACTGTGCTGTACAGAATGTTACATCATGTCCCATTCACAAATCATTGCACATATTGTGCAAAGCGTCCCATGTTTACATTAACAACAAGTTAGGGAAAAAAAAATCACATTTGTGATTTTTCAATAGTCATTCACTGTCTGCCATGTGGTGGCAATGTTTCACCACTTTAACACAGCTGAGATTCCCCAGTGCATCTCAACAGCAGGGGGATAACAATGATGAATGCAAATAACACACTGCATCTAACCATATAATCAAATAGAGTCAAAGCAGCTAAATAAACTGGTTTATCCATTTTAAAGGGGGAGAAGAAAGCTGTAACTTTAGTTGTTTCTCTTACTTGATAGAGGCTAGTCAAATTAGGCAGATGCCAACAATGTACACAGGTCAACATTTGAAGTGGATCGAAAACCTTTCATCAAAGTTGTCCCATAACCAAAATGTACTCTCGTCTTAGGACAACTTTGATGAACTTATTTGATCCACTTCAAATTTTGACTTCTGTAGTTCCTGGCCACAATATAGTTCCTGGTAGTATTAATATGTTTCAAGATTAAATTTTAAGGAGCTGGTTGTTTACTTTTGTAAGAACAGTGGGTTTAAATCCGGCTGAGAAGCAGTGCTGGACAGCGTATCTGAGCTCAACAGTTACCTTGCTGTGTCTGAGAAGAGCTCTGGTCACACACAGCAGCTGTCTCTCTCCCACTGAGAAGTTCTCTCCGTTATCCGTCACCTCTGAATGCAGTGAATTTGGCAGCTGGATTACCTGAAAATAAATCAACATGTGACTAAATCACAGCTACTCCAAAGCCAATACGAAGTCAGACTTTGGAAAATCATACCAAAACCTTCTGCTCTTACTCACCATGTCCTTAATGTGCGTTTTCTCCAGAGCTTCCCAGATCTGTGCATCTGTATATTGATCCCAAGGATCCAGATTTGATCTGTTGGTGATATAAGCAACTTAGTCAACATAATCTGACCCTAGTCTTACTGCGCACGGTTCATCAAGCGGATGTTATTCTTGAGGAAAAAAATGTTTGTCTTTGCAATCTTTCATCAAAATGCAATAACTTGCTCAACTTTTGAAATGAAACTGCCGTTCAAAAGTTTGGGATTAGTAAGATTTTGAATGCTTTTTATAAAGAAGTCTCTTCTGCTAACCAAGGTTGCATTTATTTGATCAAATATAGAGAAACGAACAGTAATACTGTGAAATATTATTACAATTTAAAATAAGTGTTTTCTATTTGAATATATTGTAAAATGTCATGCTTAATCTTTTTTGGAGCCTGTGATACTTTTTTCAGGATTCTTTGTTAAATAAAAAGTTAAAAAGAACAGCATTTATTCAAAATAGAAACCTTTCCTAACAATATAAGCCTTTATTATCCCTTTTTATCAATTTAACACATCCTTGCTGAATAAAAGTAATTTTTCTCAAAAAAAAAAAAGAGAAAGAAAACATGTACTGACCTCAAACGTTTGAACGGTCATGTATAGTGTTACGAAGGATTTCTATTTTGAATAAATGCTGTTCTTTAACTTTTTATTTATCAAGGAATCCTGAAAAAAAGTATCGCAGGTTCTAAAAAAAACTTAAGCAGCAAAAACTGTTTTCAACATTGATAATAAATCAGCATATTATACTGATTTCTGAAGGATCATGTGACACTGAAGACTGGAGTCATGATGCTGAAAATTCAGCTTTGATCACAGAAATAAATTACATTTTAAACTTTTGAACAACAGTTTATATAATGCCCACTTTTCTCAATCCAATCGATTCTAGATGGATAAAACACATCCTTGCTGAAAAAAAGTAATTTTTCTCAAAAAAAAAAAAAAAGAGAAAGAAAACATGTACTGACCTCAAACGTTTGAACGGTCATGTATAGTGTTACGAAGGATTTCTATTTTTAATAAATGCTGTTCTTTAACTTTTTATTTATCAAGGAATCCTGAAAAAAAGTATCGCAGGTTCTAAAAAAAACTTAAGCAGCAAAAACTGTTTTCAACATTGATAATAAATCAGCATATTATACTGATTTCTGAAGGATCATGTGACACTGAAGACTGGAGTCATGATGCTGAAAATTCAGCTTTGATCACAGAAATAAATTACATTTTAAACTTTTGAACAACAGTTTATATAATGCCCACTTTTCTCAATCCAATCGATTCTAGATGGATAAAATGTCTAGTTCTACTTTTGTTTCTTGTTGAATATCCTGTTTCACACTGAAGTACTGTATGTGACATTGTGTAAGTGAAATGGGTTGCATCATTTTGACTTCATGACTTCAGGAACAATAGGTAAAGTGACGTGGACCGTACCTGACAGTACCAATGAAAAGAACCGGCTCTTGGGGGATGACTGACAGCTTGCTCCTCAAGTCCTCCAGACCAACGTGAGCGATGTTGACACCATCAATGATGATTGATCCTCGGCTGAGCTCCGCTAGTCTGAAGAGTGCGACGCCCAGTGAAGATTTCCCTGAAGAAACAGCCCACCTGTGTCACAATCTAATACAACCCGCAGTAGAGACGAACACAAACGACATCTGAGAGGATAAAAAAGCCAAGTAGACAGGCATACCTGAGCCCGTTCTGCCAACTATCCCTACGGTCTCCTCTGGAAGTACACTAAAGGAGAGATTCTTCAGAACCAGAGGAAGGTCATCCCGATATCGCATTTCCACATTCTGGAAGGTGATTCGTCCTTCTTCTGGCCAGCTGGAGGCAGGAGCGGAGGAGCCGCAGATCTGTCGAGGACCTTCGCTTTCCAGGTTCTGAGTGAATAATGATTATCTGCATTATTTTTCATGTAGGAGCAGGTGTGGCTATTAGTAACTTGAATGTGTGAGGCTTTTGGTGTCAATCACTTCCAGTTATTTTAGCTGTACAAAATAGTCTGTTATACTGCTTGATATCACAACCATTTGTTTTCATATTATTTCAATGCATAAATATAAACACACTGGCTTGTAGTAGGTATGTGCGAGAATAGTCGTCTAGACGATACTGCTGCTGCTAGTCAACATTGGAAATACTAGTCGTTTTTTTGCACCAATTTGTTTTGATGTTTATTTGTTCGAAGGCTTGTTATACTACCAGTTATGCAGGCCAACACTTGTTATAATTTGTTTACCAGTTTAGGGGAAGCATTATAAAAAATAATTAACTTGATGACAACAATAGTTGCTATATCAACTTCAAGTTCATTTTATTTGTATAGCACATTCACAACAGCCACCAGGCTGACCAAAGTGCTTTACAGAAGAGCAAGATTATACCACATACACAGAAAACAGGACTACCAACAAAGCCTGGTCACAGGATCGCAGGCTTCTAGACAGAGTGTAGAGATGAAGAAGTTCAGAGAGGTAGACAGGAGCTAAGTTATGTAGGGATTTATATACAAAGAGTAGAATTTTAAAGTCTATTCTCTGACAAACTGGCAACCAGTGTAGAGATCTAAGAATTGGGAGTGATGTGTTTATGTTTATGACACTTTAAAAGAAGTCTGTCCGCAGCATTTTAGACGAGCTGAAGACGCGCAATTTGAGACTTTAGATGTACCGCAATATAAAGAATTGCAGTAATCTAGACGAGACGTAACAAACACATGAACAGCCATTTCTCGAGTTTTAGGAGTGAGAAAGTTTTTAAATTTAGACAGTAAACAAAGCTGATAGAAACTGGATCCGATAACAGAACAGATATGTTTATCAAATTTTAAATGCCGGTCAACAAGAACACCAAGGTTCCGCACCCGTGAGGATCTAAAAACGGATAAACTTTCTAACTCAGGGCTTATACATGAGAGTTCTCATTTGGACCGAAAACAATTACCTCTGTCTTGTCTTCATTTAGGAAGAGGAAATTTTGGGCTAGCCATGATTTAACCTCCTCTAAACATTGCAGAAGTGAAGTAATCACAGTGGAATTGTTTCTTTTGATTGGTAGATAGATTTGAGTATCATCTGCGTAGAAATGAAAAGACGCACCATGTTTTTTTTTAGAATAGAGCCCAGAGGTAGCATGTAAAGAGAAAATAGAGAGGGAGCTAAAATAGAGCCTTGTGGAACACCACAGGTCAGAGGTGCAGGGGAAGAGGTAAAATTACCCAGCTTCACTAAAAACTTTCTGTCAGACAGGTATGACTGAAACCATTTCAGAACGTTTGCTTTTAGACCTACCCAAGACTCTAATCTAGATAATAGTGAGGAGTGGTCTATGGTATCAAAAGCGGCTGATAAATCTAAAAGAATAAGAACCACAGAGTCTCCGAAATCAGTAGAGAGGTAAATATCATTTAACACTCAAAAGGGCAGACTCAGTGCTGTGAGCAGACTTAAAACCAGATTGAAAAACCTCATAAATACAATTACTTGTCAGAAAACGTTGAAGTTGATTCAGCACAATTTTCTCCAAAACTTCTGAAATGAAAGGTAAGACAGAAATCGGCCGAATTTTCTTTTGATCAAAATCCTTACGAATAAAATACCTGTAAATAATGTATAGTTGTCAGTGCACATCAAGCTTTTCTGGCGATTTGTCATATTTACAGGTACTTTACATACATGAGAAATGTGATCAAACAGCAAAGGTAAAGCTTCTCCAAAGTCCGATTTGGTGAACTGATTCAACTTGTTCACTAAAAAGAACCAGTTCAAAAGAATGATTCGTTTGTGAACCGAACATCACTCCAGTCAGTTTGTCTGAGGCTCTGGATTACAGGTAATAATGTTGTAAATAATGTTTCTTGCACAGACCGATCCTTTCGCTTCTTAAGACCTCGATATATCATCAGGAGCCACAGGTATTCATTTTGTGCTCCTTGATATGCTTATTTTTTTATTTTCAAAAACGGGCAGCAGCTGACTTGACTATGAATCACCAAGGACCACGGTTTCAGCTAAAAATCTTCTTTACTGTTCTACCTACATGTACATCTTGGATGGCCAGAGGGTGAGTAAATTAACAGCAAAAAAATTCATTTTTGGGTGAACTATCCCTTTAAGAGTGTACAATGATCATAATGCAAGGCAAGCATGTCGACTGTAGGCTATATGACCTATTTTTTTAGCAGTATTCACTATGGGATTTTACTGTTTGATTCACAGAGTAAGCAAGCTGTTTTCAAATGGATCAAACAGTTTACTGCACTTTTTTATTCTTACAGTTACTTACCTATAGCAGCTTACTTTTGAATTGCAAAATAAGCTGAATACTTTGTACTTCAGAACTCAGCGAGACCATTATTGGCTTCATTAATCACTGTAAAATGCTCTCTGCCACTTGGGCGGCAGCTAAGACAGCTGTACTGCTCTGCTTTGATAAGAGCCTCCTGAAAAAAGCTGTGTCATACGCTATGATGTTCTGTCTGGCAAAAAACGCATCCCATGAAGCTTGCTGAGTGGGATGTAGCAGGCTCACTATGCAGCGTGCTGACCGCTGGGCTCAGCCACCTGTGTAAAGCAAAGATCTAGTGTCTTTTGTGCGCTGTCAATTGAATAAGAAACGGTCCGTCCCTTTCTATTTGTCATTGACACAACCAGCACGCATGTGTCACAGGAGCTTCTACCTTTATGTAATGATTGATCCGCTCCACTGATGTAAAACGGGCTTCGGTTTCAGAAAGCAGCCTCACGGTGAACTGAAACAGGCCGGTTAGCTGGATGTGGGAAGGGAAAGAAAACGAGGAGTGAATAACAACTGTGCAATAGTAAGCAATGCAAATTAATGACGGCACAGTAACGGTCCTGCCCTACAAGGGTCCCCACTCATATACCGTGTGTGAGAGCAGCGCACCTGTACGGCGTAGGAGATGGCCAGACCGGCGTAAGCAGGAGGAATGCGGCCGTGCATGAAGACGATGAGGAGGGCGACGGTGGTGATGAGAGAAATGCTGATGAGGTCCAGACGCACAGCCAGCCAGCGCATAGCACAGCTGAACAGATAGTGACACGCTTGATTTGTATCAAGCAGGGCTTGATTCCTGGTGGAATATAACCAATATTTAGCCTTATTTAAGTCCTTACTTTGTAAGTTTATTAATAACATACTTTTAATCTTCTACACACACACACACACACACACACACATACACACACACACACACACACACACATGCACACACGCACACACACAATCTATCTATCTTACAATATAAGTATTTTAATGCATTATCAAAGTAATTCTTAATTATATTTATTATTAGTTTTTATTTAAAATTTAAACCTCTTAGTGTGAATTTTTCTTGAAAAGTGTGTATAATAAAATTTCTTTAAAATAAAAGTCACTAGGTTCTGTGTTTTTCATGATTTTCTGATGCAGTGCCCTTTGTGAGTGTGGCATCTATGCACTGTTTGAACTTTGTGCAAACTTTCCGAGGCCACAGTACAAGCAGACCTCAAGTAAAGTTTCACTGCAGTGTTTGTCTCAGAGAAAAGTTCTGCAAAGTCATGGAGGGCATTCTGCTGTGTGAATATTACCTGTGTATGAAGTCAGCACCCCTGCCGTAAGCATAGATAGTGGACAGGCCTTGCAGACTGCTGGTGATATGAGAGGTGAAAGGGGATTGGCTGATATTTTCCAAGCGCTTCAGCTCACGAATGAGAACCCTTTGGGTAAAAAGGACAATTGGAAAAGTATATTTATATATTTTTCTGTCCCTGACAAAACGTCAGCCAGTCTTAGAATATGAGTTTTGATCAAAGCTCTGGCTCATCTCATCTGCTTATCTGTGTGGCTCACAGAGCTGCCTGTGATGTGACAGGTTAGTGGCTTATGAGATGGAGGCCCACAGGGGACAATAACGGTGAGACTGAGGGGATCTTCCTGGCTGAGCTGCAGTCATTTCTGGCTTCTGAACTGATTTATATGGGGCTTTATGGGGCCTGTCACACGTCAGCGCTAACACAGGCAGGACAGCAGAGCCAGGCCATTACTGATGAGCAATCAGGCTGATTTCAGCTTGTAAGTGCATATATGAAAAAGGCATTGCATGTGAATAATGTTGTTAATGATTCATATTTTTCTTAAAAAGAGGGCAAGCGAAGGAGGACAATCATGCCCTTGACATGCTTTCTCTAAGACAGATGCTATGAAAATATATTTATAAGTGTGGTTCTTTTGTCTTTTTAGACATATTTAAAAACAATATAAAAAAAAAAAAAAAATTATATATATATATATAGAAAGAAGCCTCTTCTGCTCACCAAGGCTGCATTTATTTGATAAAAAACTGTAATATTGTGAAATATTATTACAATTTAAAATACCTGTTTTTCTATTGCAATATACAGTATTGCAATATATTGTAAAATGTAATTTATTTCTGTGATCAAAGCTGAATTTTCAGCATCATTACTCCAGTCTATATATATATATATATAAATACATTTTTTTTCTATTATAACCATTTATTTAAAATTATTTAGCAATTTTACAAAATTTATTAAACAATATACAAAATTATTAAAAATCAAAAAAATTATACATTTTAATTAAACAATTATATTAGAGAAAACTAACTATAGCGTTAACTATAGAGAATAGAGAAATAGTTTCTTATCTTTATTATCTATTTGTGAAATGTTTTCCTTGAAAAGTGTGTGTTTTAAAGTTTCTTTAAGATAAAAGCCACAAGGTTTGATATTTTTCATGGTTTTCCGATGCAATGTCATACTGTTTGAACTTTGTGCAAACTGTTAGAACACATATTAGTCGATTAATCAGTCTGACATATATTTGGTTCTACTTTATACAATGACACAGCTCAACTATCTGTTTGACCCAATAAATCTGTAAGACCAAACCTGGAGATGCGGTTGACGACGAAGAGGAATGCCCCTAAAGGAATGATGGAGAACAGGAACCAGGGAAACACAGCACCCACCATGCCCAGGCAGAACAGCACTAATGTCACATTCTGCAGCAGCATTTCTGCTTGCATCGCCAGACGCACGTCAACTACGCACAGAGGAAGAACAGAGAGCGAACGTGTGAGAGAGCGAGACATCAGCACGCTTCGAGACGCCCCCGTCATCCTGCATGTGAAAGGATTTGTGAAGAAAGATAGAGAGAGGTTCCTCACCCTCATCCATGTCCCTGGAGAATCGGTTGAGAATGCGTCCCAGGGGTGTTGTGTCGAAAAAGCGCATGGGGCTCAGAAGTAGAGTCTTAAATAGTTTATCATGCAGAACCGAGGCTGCACGCACAGTGCACTGCAAAAACAACACAACAACACACACAACAGTGTTAATAATGCATGCACCCAGACATAACCAAAATGCTAATAAATGGGCCGGTGATTAAAAAAAACCCTACAAAACCCTTTAGTTAAGGTCCATAAAGCAAACAAACAAGTCAGGGATGCACACAAACATTTACACAGCCATAATAGCTAGATTTATATGGAGAAAACCTTGGCAAGCATACAGGAATGCTTCTGCTCTGTGAGGCCCAGCCTGAGACGTCACACACATCCTCAGGAAAAAAGGTGAATTTCCTACTTTGATAACAGATATTTACTGGAATAACGACTTTGCATGGCCCCTTTCAGAATAGCAAAACAGCTTCAACACTGTTCACTGTTGTTCCCTCCTCTGGTTAGAAACAATAGATGGTTTTAATTAAGAGGCCAGAGACCACTTTACCAGCTTTTTTTTGGTGCAAATTAAAGTTATTTAAACATACAACATATTTAATATCAGCGTTGGAGAAAATTACTTTTAAAAGTAATGCATTACAATATTGCGTTCCTCCCTTTAAAAATAAACTAATTGTGTTACTTAGTTACTTTTGCATTGCATTACTTTTTCTCATCTGGTCTGGGCTTGCCTGTTTGTCTTTAATATAAAAAAAGTTATATTTTTGGCAAATGTAAAAGACCTTTCACACCAAAAGTGAAATGAATAAGCCTCAGGCTGAAGAAATTGAATACATAAAGGATTTATTTTACATTTACTTATATTTGTGTTTACCTGTATGCATTTACAGTAGCTAAAGGTTTTATCCAAAGCACCTTACATTAGAGGAGCATTAGTAATTAAATAAAGTAGCATCACAACTGTTTTCAACATTGATAATAATAATTAATGTTTCTTGAGCAGCAAATCAGCATATTAGAATGATTTCTGAAGATCATGTGACGCTGAAGACTGGAGAAATAATGATGAAAATTCAGCTTTGATCACAGAAATAAATTACATTTTAAACTATATTAAAATTGAAACCAGTTATTTTAAATTGTAATAATATTTTGCAATATTACTGTAATTTTAATCAAATAAATGAAGCATTAGTGAGCATAAGACTTATTTTTATTAAATTAGGACATGAATGATACATTGTGTATCTAATACATTCAATCTATAAAAAAATACAAGACATTTATAAATAAATTCATTTAGTCATTTTAAGTCACGCAGGGAAAATAAAGTGGCTGGGATTGCTGTGCAGTGCATTAGAAATAGAAAAGAGTCATTGTGAACTGTACTGTGAGCACACAAAAAGAGCACTTCTAATGTAGACCGCTTCGTTAATTATGAAGAAAGCGATCTAATTTTGGCCTAATGCACAGACCGTACCAGCGTAGACAACATAATGTCACTTTAGCACTTTACACAACTAACACACACACACACACACGAGGCGTAGTAAATGCATGGACGCCATCACTGCAGCACATATAAACACACGGTTACACAAGTACAAATATTCTCAAACACATGTCAGGAGACCACTGAGAATATGCCAGACATGCCTTCATAACAAAACTCCTCATGGGAAATTTTTTTTACCATTTGGATTTGATGCTTTCTGGCACAAGGGAACAAATTCCTTCCATTAACAGAATATGTAAAGTTTCCAAATTTGCAATCTTACCTCTGGGTAAAAAGAGATTAGCCATCATCGAGGAATTAGTGAATACAAGTGGCACACAATTACACAGACACATAACCTCTCTAATGTGCTGTCGGCTCTGCTTAATGGAGAAGAGGGCACGGGGTCCTGAGGGGACACATATACTCAACCCCTCCAGCTCAAAGTCAAGACACTGGACAGATAAATGGATTTAGCCTGCAGGCAATTTCAATTAAAGAGACAGAAAAGCAGACACTTGGCAATGTCATGGATTGCAGCGCAAGGATTTGTGGAAATGAAACCGAAACTATGGAAAGTACACTGTTCTAGATTTTTCACTTCACAATTATTGTGGCCAAAAGAATTCATAGTAACAATATATCACGAAATCTATAGAAGTCTTGGAAAATAATAATAATAATGAAACAATCAAATTCTTCTTTATTTTAACAAACAAAACAAAACAAAGTTTGCAAATTAATAAAATAACGTTATACAGACACTTCATATGTGATGGTATTTCATGATTTGTTTATTGCATTTACTATATTATACTTTCAATAAAACATTTGCATTGGGTGTGTAAAAGCTGTTTTATAAACATTTTCGGCCTGAGTTTTTGTTGCATTTACAGTTTTGACGAGCAGGCATCATCAATGTGCGATGTTTGGAGCGCTTTGAAATAGTAAATAATTTTGCGAAGCAATTGGTTCAGTTCATTCAAAGCTTCAAAAAGGTTTGTTTCTCCCAACACTGCTTAGTACAGCGACAAAGTACAACAACATATCAGAAAAACTACATATTTTTACTCCAAATGTGTGTTAATCTAGTTTTTTTTAATTAAATTAAATTAATTAATTTAATTTTAATTAACTTCCTTCCGTGAACTGATGTGGCTTCTTATCACAGAATGAGGCAGAAATTATATTATTTTATAGTATTCTGTAGAGCGATAAAGGCTGTGTCAATTACCATTGTATTGGAAAATGCCAGCAATGACTTGAAGAACACCGATAAACCAAATACTGTTGCATTCGGGTGTTGATTCTCTTTATGTTTCATCAGTCAAAGTATTTCTTTGTACATTTTATTCAGCTACAGCGATAGCTGGACAAATTAACGTGTGAGAGTTTAATGCGGTGTAGGCCTACTTTAAATTTTTTGGTGCATGGTTATCACAATATATTGCCACACCACTAATTAACATGATAATGATATAACATTTTTAAACATCACAATTGTAACCCTGGAGCACAAAAGCAGTGTTAAGTCGCTGGGGTATATTTGTAGCAATAGCCAACAATACATTGTATGGGTCAAAATTATTGATTTTTCTTTTATGCCAAAAATCATTAGGATATTAAGTAAAGATCATGTTCCATGAAAATATTTTGTAAATTTCCTACCGTAATCAAAAACTATTAATATGCATTGCTAAGAACTTAATTTGGACAAACTTTAAAGGCGATTTTCTCAATATTTTATTTTTTTTGCACCCTCAGATTCCAGATTTTCAAATAGTTGTATCTCGACCAAATATTGTCTTATCATAACAAACCATACATCAATGGAAAGCTTATTTATTCAGCTTTCAGATGGTGTATAAATCTCAATTTCGAAAAATTGACCCTTATGACTGGTTTTTTGGTCCAGGGTCACATTTACGTCAAAACCGGTAAATCACGCGCACAGTCAATAAAATATCGGTTTACAAACACTACACCACTGTGGGAAAAGGCATTAATTGCGATGCCCCCTTGACAGATTAACCTGCTACTCTCAGGTAGATTCAGGCAGTGATGAATAGTGAATGAGCAAAGAGGAAATGCATCTGCCTAAGGACCCAAGTGTTTGATAAAAAATTCAGCTGTGTGTAATGGAGACAGGAAGCCTGAACAGAGGAATCTGGTGCGCTGACAAATAAACTCCAGATTACCTTGACGAACACCAGCCCTCGCACCGTCTTCAGGAAGAGCGCCGCCCCCATGGATAAGACGTACACCCTGGAGTAGTACTGTATGTGCGGATTCAGTCGCATGCTGTCGCTCTCAGCGGTCTGGTTTGCCTGCAGCAGTGAGGAATTCTGCAGGGACAAAAGAACATCACCTTGGAAACGTGATCCATCCCTGGAGATTCCCAACAAACCAGCTGAACTGTGTGCACCAATCCCAGTCTCAATTATTTTACAGAATGCCAGTTAACTGCAACATCTGTTGCCGTGATTGTCCCTCTGAGTAAATCGTGTGGAGTCTGGCACTTCTAATTAGTTTCGGGATTGATGTTCGTTTCGGCTAAGCATCAAAACTCGGCGATTAAAGCTGGTGGTTTGTCGCCTTAAAGGAATAATTCGCCCCAAAAATGAAAACTGGCATCATTTTTTTTCTCACCATCATGTCATTTTCCAAACCTCCCTGCTGAAAAAAAAGACACCATCACAAAATGTGTTATTGTTTTACTGGTTATAATGGGATTTGTATTGTTTTAATGGAAACTGTAATGTGGGTCTCTATTGGTAATTGGTCGCCTTATATTGGTGGCTTGTTAAAACCACTAAATCCTAATAGGATATGTCCCAAAACACACTACAGAATACAAATTTTAATGGTTTTAATGGTTAAAAGTTGATGGTTTGTAATGGTATTTGTAGTGGAAACCATTAGAATTTCTGTGATGGCTTCTGTTGTTTTTTTCAGCAGGGCTGTGAAGACTCAAGAAACTCAAAATGAGAGATTCTGACCCGTTTCTGTTTTCCTTGCAATTATAAGGAACGTGTAAGCTTTCAAGCTTTTTATACCCTTCAAAAAGAGTATAAAAGAACCAAAAAAGTATCATGGTCAATTTTAAAGGGTTATTTTACTCTAAAATGTAAATTCTGTCATCATTTACTCACCCTCATGTCATTCCAAACCCATAAGAAATTTGTTCAATTTCGTAACACAAATTAAGATGTTTTTAATCAAATCTGTCTCTCTTCTGAAAGTCTGTTTACCTAAAACTCTGATGCTTTCAAATATTTGTAAAGATATAAAAAAAAGTAAAATCAAGCAAATTAATAAAAGTTTTCTGGAGCCACGATTAATAATAAAACTAGCCAGCTAAGCCAGTAGTATTAGTAGTACTGACAGTGTCGTGTAAACATGGAGTCATTTACGCTGGAACCGCTCCGACTGATTCACTCTCAAATTCGTGACTTCGATCTTTCAGTTCAAGCAAGCGGGATATATCGCCCTCCGATGGGCACTTTGGAGTGAAAACAATCATGGCCGCCATATTGAAGGGTCGTTCCAAACCGAAGTGCTCAAAACTGGCCACTTCAAAGGGACCTTCGGAATGAAGGATTTTGAAGGGTACAACTTCGGGCCCCCATGATCCTTTGCACAGGAAAGTTGTTTGGCGTCACACCCTGCGTTCCATTCGGAAAGGCTCATCCCTATACCCTAATCCCTTCAAAGGGTTTACCCTCCGGAGTGAGAGCTTCGAAGGGATTAGGGCATAGGGATGAGATCGGGATTTCAGAATACGAATCATTTGATTTAGATCGGAACTTCGGGGCAGGTTCACGAATTCAGATCAGGACTTCGGAGGATGTATCGCAAATCGTTTGATTTAGCTCGTAACTTTGGGGTGGGTTCGCGAATCATTATTTAGATCGGAACTTCGGAGCAGGTTCGCAAATCATTTGATTTAGATCGGAACTTCGGAGCAGGTTCGCAAATCTTTTGATTCAGATCTGAATAATGATTAGCGAATCATTATTCAGATCAGGACTTCGGTTTAGAGCCAGTGAATTGTTGTTTATGTATGTGGAATTTAGCTAGCAGGAAACGCAAATTAATTAAGTTATATTGTCCTATATGCTCTTTTGAGCAGTCAAACAATCCAAATAAAATATCGGTAACACTTTCTATGAAGCCCATATTTATAATACATTTTAAGGGTATTCTTAAGGCATTATAATGAATGCATAATATAAGCATGACCATTTTAATTTTGGGGTGAACTAACCATTTATTCACAAAAATAATTGAAATCCACCCTAATTCTCTTTAGTACATTGATGAAAGATCATGAGCAAGTAGCGAGGAAACAAATGATTCTTTTGAGTCAGATCATGTCAATGAATAGGATGATGGGAATGATTCATTCAAAGATTCGTTCATACTGATTAGAACGTCTGCTTTTCTTTTCCTCAGAAGAAAAAGTGTTAAGAGAAGATGACCGAGTTGCTATTGTTAGCTGAATAATCACTTTGTCTTACCCCGCTGCCCTGCCTGATCCAGTGACTGAGCCACCAGTTGCTGAAGGCGATGCTGCCGGTGGTGAAGAGGAAGAGGAGGATGTTCACGACGAAGGCCAGGGGCCCTCCGGCAGCCTTGATGTAAGCAGTGTACACGGGCCAGGCCACGGCCCCGCTCCCCTTTTCCTCCGCCTGCATGAGCTGATCTGTGAGGGGCACATCAGACAACAGAAAGAGAGAAGAACAACAAAGAAGTGTGACTCATCCACCGACTGTTAAACCAACGCTTCCCAAAACAGGTCACATGGTGGCTAGCCTACGACCAAACCAGATCAAAGAAATCAGGCAATTTATTTGCTGGGTGATGTTCCAGAAGTGCTTATACTGAGTATAGCAGTCCGTTTCAGATCAGTGCATGTAAGTGAGATGTTTGTTTGTGCCAAACACAATGTGTTCTTCAATTCATTATTGATAACATTTTGTTGTGTATATACAGTATATTGTATATTCATATTGTAATGCAATTAATTTAGCGTGTTATATTAACATGAACACACACAATGCACTTTTGTTTATTGTCAATTTATAATCAACATTCATATATATGAATTTATGTATATACACACACACACACACACACAAATATGTTGATTACAAATGATGAATTTGTAGTTGATTATAAATTATATATATGCATTAATACAAAACATGAGCACGGAAAGCTGAATAGATCATGTATAATTTTCTAAAATTAATTATAATTACAATTATAATTACAGCGTATATATATATATATATATATATATATATATAGAGAGAGAGGGAGAGAGAGAGAGAGAGAGAGAGAGAATATATATTTATAAGTATTAATATATTTATAATAAGTTAACAATTGCATAAATGCATCAACACAAGACTTGACAATCTGAACAGGTAAAAAATAATTAAAATTCTGCATACTGCAAACTGCATACTTTTTTCGTACTAGTTTGCTATTTTCAATGTTTGATTTCAAACATTTTCACCTTTTATTTGGTAGAAAGTTATGGCTATGGTAATGAATCTCCAGAGTCATCCAATATACAGTCCTGAGGACAAAACAAATGAGAAGCACTGAATTAAACCCTCACCTCTTTTCTTGCTCTCAGTATGCGGCTTGGCTGCAGGGCTGACATGCAGGGACTGCGGGCTGCTCTCCTCCTCGGCCCTCTGCTTGTTTTTCAGGTTCTTCCTCACTAGGTTCTGGATGAAGGATGAAGAAAAAGAGAAAGAGCGAGACCTGGTAAAGAGCAACCCGCACCTGATTAACAGAACAAATCAGCCAGAACAATGGCTGCTGGGTCATTAATACAGAGATCAGTGACAATGTCCCTCGGCTGTTACTCTCACAGATCAATTCACTTATAAATTACAAAAGCACGGCATGAATTAACATTTCAAACCAGTGGCTCTGCAGCCCCTGCTTCATGAATTTTGCAGTAGGTGATGTAGGATGTTTTGTGAACGTGTGACCCTGGTGTTTTCCCATAGGGCAGCGTATCGCACCTCTTGCTGCACGCTGTTGAAAAGGGCAGCGTAGTCTCGGCCTTTCTCCATCAGCTGGACGTGTGTGCCGTGCTCCGCTATCTGACCATCCTTCATTAACACCACCTCATCACACTCAGGCAAGTACTGTAGAACAAACACACCCGTGGGAAAAGACACAGAGCGTCAGAAAATACCATGAGGAGACTTTATGTTACATTAACCCAACCCTAAGCACATTAATATCACATTAGAAGGCATTTGCTCAATTAAAAAAAATGTTTTAAGGGACATTTTTGTTCTTTAAATAGGGATGCATGACATTTTTTCTTTATCAGTAACAGTAAATATATGATATATATCCCCAAGCATATTAATATCATATTAGAAGTCATTTGCGCAGTTAAAAAAAGGTTTTAAGGGACATTTTTGTGTCTTTAAAAAATGTTAATATGAATGCATGACATGCCATCAGTTATCAATCTTTTTTTAAATATTTATGATGATTTTTTTTTATTTATCGGTAACAGTAAATATTGGATATTCATCATAATACAGTATATGTTGGCTTTTAAATGATGCTTTTTTCGATTTTTACATTTCCTTTAGATTACCTTTCCAACATTGGCAACTAACCAAAATAAATTAAGTTTAAGCTGAAGTACTAGCATTAACTTAACTGAAATATTAATTTAAAAAACATCTTAAATTAAGCTAAATCGAAAAAAAGATTAAAAAAAGACAAAAACACAAACACATAAAAAGTTACTAAAACTTGAAAAAAAACCCAGTGAAAATATAAAAATAAAAGCTTAATATTAAAATAACAGCTATGCAAAGAAATAAATGTGTATTCGACTTATTGGTATTGGCCTAAATTTGTATTATTTTCAAAATATTTTAGAAGCACAAAAAGGAATTTAAAGCCATACTGTGTTATCAACATAGGAACTGCCTAACAATGGCCTTTGCAATACAGCACGGCCTCTCGGATGAACCGTATTCAATTCACAAACGTATATAATCTCAGTGAAGCTTGGTGGATGAGCACAATGTCTCCTGTCCCAGTCTGTGCTGTGTCTATGCGGTACATCACATGCATTCATAGCCTCTTGCCTGCAGCTGGTGCGTGACAAAGATGACAGTCCTGCTCTTGGCCGTGCGGCGGATGGCGCTGTGGAATAGGTGCGATCCCACGCGAGTGTCGACGGCGCTGAGGGGGTCATCGAGCAGAAGGACGGGTCTCTCGCTGTACAGCGCACGGGCCAGACTCACTCTCTGCCGCTGACCGCCGCTCAGATTGGCTCCTCTCTCTCCTATCTACAGCAGATCATTCACAGCAGCCACAGTAATCATCACACTGCATTTTTTCAACTGAAAACTAATATGTGACCATGGACCACAAAACTAGGCTACTGGACAATTTTTTGAAGATTGAGATTTATATATCATTTATATATATATATTTATATATATAAATATATATATATATATTTCACACATTCACGAAAATGTTTGGATTTGTCATGTGTATGTTGCTGTGTCATGTGTTAGTTATTCTGAATGGATCCGTGTACTGTAGTAGATATATGCAGTCAGCAGGCGATTGGTTTAGGTTTTTTTTGGCATCTCCATGTGGTCCTGTTCGGTATCGCAACTTGATTTCTCTAAAATGTTTAAAAGCTCTTTGCTGTTGCACTGTACACATACTATAAAATTCTGATTTAATTTTTTTTATATACAGTATATATGCTTATATGGGCTCCTTATATCTTTTGGTTCTTTGGTGTCCTTTTTGAGTTTCTAAGTGTCCTTTTTTGGAAAGATAGCTAAATTTATCTTGAAAAAAGCTTGCAGAAAATACAGATTTTTGAGAATCACCCTTCAGTCTTTTGGTTTACATTGCTGGATATAGCAAATGATGACAAAATAAACATTTGAAATAAGATAAATGGTCTATGCTTAATTTCATGGAGTGTGCGATTAATCGTGATTAATCACAGAAAAAGGGTGTGATTAATTAGATAAAAAATTGTAATCGATTGACAGCCCTAATATATATCATAATTTATATATATATCATCTTTCCACTGATGTATGGTTTGTTAGGATAGGACAACATTTGGCAGAGATACAACTATTTGAAAATCAGGAATCTGAGGGTGCAAAAAAAAAATCAAAATATTGAGAAAATCATCTTTAAAGTTGTCCAAATGAAGTTCTTAGCAATGCATATTACTAATCAAAAATTAAGCTTTGATATATTTACGGTAGGAAATTTACAAACTATCTTCATGGAACATGATCTTTACTTAATATCCTAACGATTTTTGGCATAAAAGAAAAATTTTGACCCATACATGTATGTACATGTATTTTTGGCTATTGCTACAAATATACCCCAGCGACTTAAGACTGCTTTTGTGCTCCAGGGTCACAAATGAGTAAGATTTGAATGACCTTGTGCTATGATTGTGTTTGTCGAGGTCAGAGATTATATTACGAGCGCAATAATGCAGATACCTCAGTCATATCACCATATGGCAGCTCAATAATATCGGGAAATAAACAGCAGGCTTCCAGAACGGCATTGTACCTGGTGAGAGACGAGCAAAAAAACTTGTTTAATTTTAGAAGAAAGGCCAAAGTCATTTTTATGCAGAACTTATGTATGCATGAATACAGCTCCCTACTTCTCCTCAATGTATTTTTTTCCAAACAGGATGTTCTCCCTGAGGGAATCGTTGAGGATCCAGGCCTGTTGAGCAACATATGCGAAGTCTCCGTTTACAGCTACTGAGCCGCCAAGAAGGGTCATCTAGACAGAAGGCGGAGAATCAGACCTATACATCTGCTTTCGTCCTGCTGAGAGGACCAGCTGCTTCATGTCCAGGCTGCTTTATGATGGTTAAAGGGGTGGCTATAAAAAATCAAGGTTTTTCATTATTTACTCTAATTTCGTGGCAAACCCATATGCTGTTATTTTCTCAGTGGAGCTCATAAAGAGAAACACTCATCCTTTCTGTAAAACAACAGCTGTCCAGCTCCAAAAACAACAAATACCGTAGCATTGTACCGGTATACTCGTCTTCCAAAGTCATAGAGTAACTTTTTGTGACTGGAACAAAACTGTAAACAGACTGGAATTTAAGGCGTTATTCACTAACGATCGTCCCCAAATCAAAATGTGTCCTTTTCTATGTCTGTTGTGATTACATCCTTGATATAGTAAATACATAAACCACAGAATTATCCATAGACAAAATTTAGAAATGTTACCAACTTTTAACAGTAAGTGTGCATGATAAAACATTTAATAAACAAGTCTCTTATGCTCAGAAAGGATGCATTTATTTGATCAAAAATACAATAAAAAAAGTACAAATATTGAAATATTTTTACAATTTTAAATAACAGTTTTCTATGTGAATATATTGTAAAACATAATTTATTCCTGTGATCAAAGCTGAATTTTCAGCATCATTACTCCAGTCTTCAGAGTCACGTGATCCTTCAGAAATCATTCTAATATGCTGATTTGCTGCTCAAGAAACATTTCATGTTGAAAACATTTGTGCTGCTTAATATTTTGTGGAAACTGGGATACTTTTTTCTCAGTATTCTTTGATGAATAGATGAAGTTCAAAAGAGCAGCATTTATTCGAAATAGAAAAAAGTTTTCTAAAAACTTTTAGAATGCTTTAACTATCATTTTTGCCCAGTGGAATGCATCCTTACAGAATATAAGTATTACTATCTTTCTTTCTCCAAAACAAAACAAAACAGCATTCTCACTGACCCTGATCTTTTGAACAGTAGTGTATGTAATTCCTCACCTGTCCAAGTAGAGCAGATAGCAGCGAGCTCTTCCCACTGCCGACTCCTCCACTAACCCCAAGCAGCAACCCCTGGTGTACAGCGCAGAAAACAGGCCAGCAAATTACATCACAAGTATTTTATGGAAGTAGAGTGAATTTAATCATGGTTATGTTAAAAGTTCTGTAAATAAATGATGCTGCGTGCGAGACTTGAGCTTCCCATGAAAACCTTGTTTTTGTCTGAATATAATGAGACATGTTGACACTGTGCTATGTAAAGAACGTAAAACCGCACATGGAGTGGTAAAAATGTGCCGCTGATGTATCGCAGTACCTTCCGGATGCAGAGGTCTATGCGGTGCAGGGTTTTGTGCAGCGGAGGTCGGATGCTCTGTGTGGAGGAGATGGTGCTCTGTGGGCTCTCCTGCTCCATGTGTGTGAGGAGGTGCTCTGCATTGGGTTCCTCGCTCTCCCCTTTGCCGTCTTCTGCGGTGATGTACAAGCTCAGCTTCTCCCTCCTCAAAACTCTCTTCATGCCTCCTCTTTTCTGCTGGGCTCGGCTCTTTTTCCCCAGTGAGCTGCAGGTCTTCTCCCAGGCCAGTGTGGCATCTTTAAACTCCACTGCATTATAGAGATCTTCTGTTCTGTTTGAGATCAGCTCCCTGTCCTCCATCATAAACAGCTTCTGTGGGCGTCAGAGGAGGCATTAAAATGGAGAACCCTGAACTTGTTTAGTAAACACTTAAGGAAACACTCTCCCATAAGAAAAAATGCAGTCATCATTTACTCACCATCATGTTGTTCCAAACCTGAATGACTTTCTGTGAACACTTAAGGATAAATACAGCAGAATATCCAGGCTCTTCCTTATAATAATTGTGAATGAGGATTGGCACTGTTAAAGGGATAGTGCACCCAAAAATGATACTGTGGAAGTCAATGGGGACCAATACTGTTTGGTTAACAACATTCTTCAAAATATGTTCTTATATGTTCCACAAAAGAAAGAAACTCATACAGGATTGAAACAACTTGAGTGTAAGTTAGGGGCTGTTCACACGGAACGCGTTTTTTTCATTCCAATGTGCTACTTTTCCATTGTTTTTCTATGTGAACACGCTAGACGGACGTGTATGACCGTTGCGCTTGCGTCTTGTGTCTTTTGCAGCATCTCACACATGAGTGCCACGTTTTAAAGACACAGGGCCCTATCATACACCTGGCGCCAGGCGCGACGCAAGTGTTTTTTGCTAGTTTCAGCCCGACGCAGCTGTCATTTTCCCATCCTGCGCCACGTTGTTTAAATAGCAAATGCATTTGCGCCCATTTGTGCGCCCATGGGCGTGCTGGTCTGAAAACAAGGTGTGTTCAGGTGCATTGCTGGCACGTTACTATTTTGAGGAACTGAAAATAGACTACGCCATAGACCAACTCCAACCTGGTCTAAAATCTGGCGCAATATTTTTTCTTTGTTATTTAAAGAGTGTGTTAGTAATATGCGCCTATAGGCGGGTGCACAACACGCGTACACTTTGCTTATTACACACACAGGGACGCGCAGCAGCACACAAACATTTTTACAAATGAAAATTACATTCCGCCATGTAAATAGTGAATCCGCCATGGCGCGAGCACAACTGGCTTTTAAAGGGGATGGGAGATGAGACTCTAATTGGTTTATGGCAAGTTACGTCCAAAAAAATACCCATTACTCATTAAGAGAATAGGGAAAACACGTTTAGACCATGCGCCGGGCGCGCCGACCATTTTTCCCATCCTTAAACTAGCAAAAGTGGATTCGGACATGCCCTAAATGCAATTGCGCCGTGTGCTTTAGACCATGCGCTTAGATCGTTAAAATAGGGCCCACAGTGTCAAGTAGGGTTGTGCCGAATGACGATAGTTTGAGATATCACCTGTGGCTGATGCCTTTGACAATAGCAAGGCAATTATTAATATTATTATTATTATTATCATCAGGCTAGTAATACCATCTAATTAATATTAGGGCTTATTTGTTCCATTATATATTTTTTCTGCATTTTTACAGTGTTCAGCATTTTTACACATTATAATCAAACCAATCACATAAGATTATATTGAGTTTATGAACGCAATGGCCAATCAGAGGCGTTCAGATGAGTCATCGATGAAACAGCAGAGTTTTGTTGTTCAGCGTGCACTGACTGCATTCTGACTCATGAATTCTCTCATCATCTCAACAACAAAGTGCAGATGTATGTGCAATATTAGTATAAGAGATTTATTCATCATACACTGTAGACAGCTTCACTGATTTTATCGGGAGTGTTTTTTATAGTGCATAAACTCACGCTAGACTGAAGTCAGTGATGATGTTCTTTGGTAATGTAAATGTTCTTTGCTCGTTTTCTGTTGCTGCTGTTTGAATAACTGAGGAAATGTAAGGCTAAAAATATCAAATGTATTCTTACGTTTACATTATAAAAATCAGTAAAAATGTAATAGCAAAAAGACACATGCACCTCATCCTGAAGGTGGATGTTTTAAGAATGGTACAACAAAGATCTTTCAATCAGAAGACAGAAGGCATGTAGTAGATTGTTACAACAGGGTTTTCAGCAAAGTTTGATCATGTTGATAATTTAGAGGACTTGATACTGTAGGCTTTATAGGTTTAAATAATTTTCGGTGTTACGCTATCGCACAGCTTCAGAAGACTTATACATGGATCACTTTTATGATACATTTATGGTGCTTTTTGTCAATTTTAAAGTCCCAGGCTCTATTTTTTCAGTGTATTGGAAAAGAGCTGCCTGGATCTTCTTCAAATTTTCTCCTTTTGTGTTCCACTGAAATTAATTCACATTTTAAATAACACGAGGGTGAGAAAATAATGGCAGAAGAGTCATTTTTGGTTTGTTTATGGATGTGGATGTGTTTTTAACCTGAAATCGTTTCACGGCCACAGAGCCTTCGGATAAAGCACGCACCGCCAAGGGCGTGACCTTTAGAGCAAAGGTCATGGAGTTGAAAACAGCAACGACTGTGAAGGCCTGCAGGTTGTGACAGAAATGAAAACTGGTCTCTGTGAGTTCAGTTGTTTACGAGCCTCGGGCAGAAAGCGAAGTGCAGAAATATGGCTGTACCTGTGCTGCGGTGAGATCATAGCCCAGAGCCATGTGAAGAGTGAAAGTGCACACGCTGGCTATCACCACCACCACTGGAGCCACACCCACCGTCAGGCTCTGAACACAGCCGGCCCTCTCCAGGATCCTCCTCTCTTCTGATCGAACGCCTGGAGACACAACAGAGGAGACGTCAAAGCAGCAAGAGATGGTTTTCTGTTCAATGACTGCATTCACAGTACAACTAACAGGTATGACTCTCTAAATGTCCTGGAGCCGCTTGCATACACTGCTTAGACTAGTCTTACAAGTTAGTCATCCAGTTTTTTAGCTAGTCTAATTTGAATCTGAAAAGTAAAACAGATTAATCCTTGGCTGACTTAACCTAGCTGGTCAGACTAGTTTTTAAGAAAATGTGCTGTATGGGAATTTTTTGACTGTGTTAAAGCAAACAAACAAACAAAAACACCATAATAAGTTTGCAGATATTTAGGAAACATGTTAAGTTCACACACTTGCTTCTCTGAAAAACAACACTACAGCCAGTTATTCTACTTTGAAATGTGCGTTCCGTGTCAGAATGTCTGTTTTTGTTTTGGTCTGCGTGACTCCGCCCACTGCCAGTTTAACCAATAGTATTTCGATACCCCGGGTTCCCAGTTGGTGGAAAACACAGCGTATTGCAGCCATGGAAGCCAGCAAATGAATGAATGAAACCATCATATTTACATACACACATACATACATACATATTTTATTTTATTTTTTATTTATTTAGTCATTTAGCAGATGCTTTTATCCAAAGCGACTTACAAATGAGGACAATAAAAGCAGTCAAAACTAACAAAAGAGCAACAATATATAAGTGCAAATGACAAGTCTCGGTTAGCCTAACGCAGTACACGTAGCAAGGTGTATATAACACACACATACATATATATATATATATATATATATATATATATTATACACACACACACACACACACACACACACACACACACACATATACACACCAGAGCCAGTGGTGGTTTTGTAGGCAAACATTAATGCCTTGAATTTAATGTGAGCATCTACCGGTAGCCAGTGCAAATTGAAGAACATGCGTTCTTTTCGGCTCATTAAAGATTAATCTTGCATCGGCATTTTGGATTAATTGTAGAGGTTTGATAGAAGTGGCTGGAAGACCTGCCAAGAGAGAGTGTGCGATTAATCCCAGAAAAAGGGTGTGATTAATTAGATTAAAAAAATACTATAGTTAGAGCACCCTCACTATTTTAAGAAGCACCCTCAGTAATTTGATTATTGTGCTTTTTGTCATTTTTGGATTCCAAGTTTTCATTAATTTCATTTTATTGTAAAAGAGCTGCATGGACATTCTTTAAAATGTAAAAAATAATAAAAATAAATTAAGCACACACTTATCTCAGTCCAAAAAAAATGACATTTCTATTTCGCATTTTGCTAATTCATTTTTTATCAAAATGATAACTTGAAAAATTGCAAAACATTTAACTGCTACATTTTATTTCATCCAACTGAATGTCAATGTCTCAGTTAAATGACAGATGATTAAAAAAAACTGACGCTCTCAAAATGAAGATAAGGCACTTCTAATGTATTAGTTAGGGCTGCACGATTATGACAAAAATCATAATTGTCGATTATTCCATTGAAATTGTAATTGCGATTATTAATTACGATTATCACAATTTACACTGAATGATGTTTATACCATTGTTTGATGCAACTGCATGCCGTATTTTTATATGAAAAATAAGCTGAAAACACACTTTTCTATAGTATTAAGCCTCAAATGTCAACTATACATCGGATTGGTTTCTTCTTTAAATTATAAAAAAAATAAAAATATGAATGGTAGCATAATGTTATACTAAAACTAAAATTAAAATAATGGGAAAAACCCTTAAGACAACATGTAGAAAGAAATAAACGCATCTTATAAGCTGAAAACACACTTTTCTATAGTATTAAGCCTCAAATGTCAACTTTACATCAGATTGGTTTCTTCTTTAAATTATAAAAAAAAATAAAAATATGAATGGTAGTATAATGTTATAGTAAAACTAAAATGAAAATAATGGGAAAAACCCTTAAGACAACATGTAGAAAGAAATAAACGCATCTTAAGGATGCAGAATAACATAAGTGGACTTTGAACGATTAATTGCCGCTTTGAACGATTACGTAATTGTGGCATCCATAATTGTAATCGCGATTAGAAATTCGATTAATTGTGCAGCCCTAGTACTAGTACCACATTATGTTCAATCCGGCAGCAACAGTGAGAAGTGCGACTGTAACGGAAGACAGATAATAATCATAAATGGGATGTTGCAGTAGATGGGGATGCTGAGGCACTGGCTGGTGTCCAAGTGCCCCATTTCGCCTCCCTCTGCTGCACTAATATTTGTCTCCCGACTGGCTGCAAGCTGGCACATTCATTCAGCGCCGCTCTCTGGCTTACAGCCAAAGTGTTTTGCTGCTGGTCTAAACAACCAGAAGCTCTGGACGTAATCTCTGAAAACACTGCTGGATCTACATAATTCATATATAGTAGATGTTAATCTATGCAGGTTGTGATATTTTATTCATAAGTGCATGCAAAAAAAGGTGTAAATAGAGGAAAGAAGGCCATGCATCCTTCATTACTGCTCAGCTACATAACAGAGAATATCTGAGGTAAAAATGGATTACTAGAGCAGTGCATCCCAGTTTAAAGGGTTAAATGATCTGTTTTCTCCATATACAGTGACCTCAAAAGAATTTAAGACAAGCTAAATGGTACGTGGCTGGATATTTTATATGTAATGAAATGGCGTTCAGAGATTTTATTTAAAAAAAAGGATATACTAAAATACTGTTCAAATTTAAGACAAATATTATATTAATATTCAATGTATAATATTCATATTTGATTTATGTCATGAACTACACCTGATTGTTTTAAAGGGTGATTTGAATACTTTTGGTATAGTATTTTTTATTTTTTGTAAAACTTTACAATAAGGTTCCATTTGTTAACTATATTTGATGCATTAAGTAACAATTAGCAATAAATATGTTACGATATTTATTAATCTTTTTAATGTTAATAAAAATACAGCCGTTCATTGTTTGTACTTATTAGCTCAGGTCCATTAAAAAGCATTAGATACAACTTTTGAATTTTATAATGTATTATTAAATATAGGAATCAGCATCAATGCTTTAGAAGTATTTTATGTTAACTAATGTGGCTTACTAATGTCAACAAACTAAACCTTATTGTAAAGTGTTACAGATTTTAAAAAAATGTTTTTGAAAGAACCTCAAAGGCTGTATTTATTTGATCAAAAATACAGTTAAATGTTGCATTGTGAAATATTATTATAATTTCACAATATTAACCACAATATCATTTAAAATCTTTCTGATATGCCTATTTGGTGCTAAAGAAAGTCATTATTTTCAATGTTGAAAACAGTTGTGCTGCTTCATGTTTTTGTAGAAGCCATGATAGATTTTATTTTTTAGGATTCTTTGATGAATAGAAAGTTGAAAACAACGACATTTATTTGAAATAGAAATCTTTTGTAACATTATAAATGTGTTTACTCTCACTTATGATACATTTCGTGCGTCATCGTTGAATAAAAGTATTCATTTCTTAAAAAACTTCAAAATTTTGAACTGTAGTATAGATCCACATCACCCAAATTGTTCTTATTTAACATTCAACAAAGTCAAACCGTCCCAAGGCATTATAGAAGAAAGAGCGCTGAATGCTTTTGTGAGTTAATCTGGAAGCTCAGAGACTCTCAGGACATTCAGTGACGGAGGACAGAGCCAAGACAGCGGATTAGGAAACTTGTTCCTTTGAATGCAGTGCAAAGCCACAGCGATGATCCTTTGATTTCCAAGGAGACCATGACATCTGAGCGCTCAGTCGCCATCATTATACACTCACTTCCAGTTTGGCTGAGTCAGTGCTACTGTGTGAGTGGGTGCAGCCGAGTGCTGTCTTACTTTGGATGTTGTTAGCAAACGCCGTCTCCCAGCAGTACATCTTAATGAACTTAATGCAGCCCAGGATCTCGTTCATCAGCCGGACTCGCCGGTCCGTAACCGTCACACACCTTTTACGGAAATACGCTGTCAAGCGGGAGGCCAGCATCTGCAGGAAACAATTTAAATGTGAAGAACAGCCTGTACAGTCAGACACAAGACTACAGTAGGGAAATCCCACGAATAAAACTGTTAGTGTATGGACCAAGGCAAAGTATAGAAATTTTAGGTATCAATTTAGATTAGGGAACATTATTCAACCTTAACTAGTTGCTTATTAGCATGCACATTGGCTGCTTATTAGTACTTAAAAAGCACATGTTAATGCATGACCGTATTCTAGATCCTTTAACACTGCCTAATACCTAAACATAACTAATGCAACAACAACTACCTTACTTATTAATAAGTTGCAGTTTATTAGGGCTGTCAAAATGGCTGAAAAACTAAATTCGAATTTTTTACTTAATCAAAATTCGAATTATATGCGAATTTAAAATGCATAATTTCAGTTAGGGCGAAGAAAAGCTTTTGGCTTCTCTTCTGAGGCCACAAGAGGGCGCATCGAGCAAAATATTACTAATGCACATTTATTCAAAGCATAACATGACTATCTGTGAAAAAGTGCATAATGTTATATTAACCAATTATAATTAAGTTACTTAAACAACTATAAACAAAACAGGATCATGTATGTATGCATAGTTTAATACAAAGGGCCGAAAGCCAATCACACAGAGTACATTTTTCATTTAAAAACACGAGATGCAGTGGGATGGGAAAAAACCCTCCATAAAGTCTCGATATATGTTTTTTTCACAGTTAAACTTGCATTAATTTTACATGGCTTTCTAAATAAAAGCGATTGCTTTTGTGCGAGACGCGAGTGCAACGGTGATAGATGTCCCTCTAGAAAATGTGTGTTCTGTGTGAACGGCTTGGTTTCAGTTTTGATGTAAACAAGATCTTCTCCACATTGATGTTCTCTTTTCCCGCAATATTTGTAATTAACAACGCAGCAGCGCCGCATCTAGTGGCTTCAACTGGATAGACTAACAAAAACATTATAATGCAACGACACTTACATCGTTTTAATACAAAGGGCCGAAAGCCAATCACACAGAGTACATTTTTCATTTAAAAACACGAGATGCAGTGGGATGGGGAAAATCCCCCGCCATAAAGTCTCGACATATGTTTTTTTCACAGTTAAACTTGCATTAATTTTACATGGCTTTATAAATAAAAGCGATTGCTTTTGTGCGAGACGCGAGTGCAACAGTGATAGATGTCCCTCTAGAAAATGTGTGTTCTGTGTGAACGGCTTGGTTTCAGTTTTGATGTAAACAAGATCTTCTCCACATTGATGTTCTCTTTTCCCGCAATATTTGTAATTAACAACGCAGCAGCGCCGCATCTAGTGGCTTCAACTGGATAGACTAACAAAAACATTATAATGCAACGACACTTACATCGTCATCGTATCTCGTGCACCTCTGATAAGGGCTGCCTCCTAAACGCTCACCTAAAATTCGAATGCAACGTTTTTGCATTCGAATGTGGATTTTTATTTCAAATTCGACGAATATTCGAAATTCGAATTTGTTTTGACAGCCCTACAGTTTATTGAGGGAAAACTCTTAGTTAATAGTGAATTCCCTACTCTAAAGTGTAACCAATTTGTTTTTATTCTGAAAATGACTAGAGAAAACTCTTATTTGTTGCCTGGGGTCATGCGGAGTACTTTGAAGCTGCCTGAATAGGGATTTTGGTCTGTCAAAAATGGTCTACAGTGAGTCTGGTTCACTTCCATTAGATGGAGAAAAATCCTGGAATGTTTTCCTGCAAAACCTTAATTTCTCTTCGGCTGAAAAAGTCATACACACCTTGAAAGGCCTGGGCATGAGTAAATAATAAGGCCATTTTTTTTAATCTATCTGTCTCAAATCACAACTGAACTACAGCTGCATGCATGAAACCATCTTCCCTGACAAACCCATCATAACATCATAGTATAATTGAATCTAACATCATATTTTGTTACTAAATGACTAAAAGAACTTTTGATTTCAAGTCTTAAAACTATGCAGAAGTATTTGTATTTTACCTTCTGTTCCTTACTGAAAAAAAAAATCTCATACCAGCCTAAGTTGGTGTCTCAGTCTAGTCAGGGTGGTCTTAAACCAGCAATCAAGTTTAGGCTGGTTTAAGCAGGTCAGCAGCCGTTTTATTCATGATAAAGCACGGCTATGACCGCTTCACCCATAAACAATCACTAATATAGCCTCAAAACGGTGCAATGTATGTATTTCAGCAAGATTAACTGCTTGTTATTTATTTAATATTACTGTATTTATTGGTTTTCTGTTTCAGGTATGATTCTGTATGTCCATCAGTTTACACTGTAATGACGCTGTGCTGCAAATCAGTCTGTTTTAAACTAAAAGACGGAAAACAGACATTTTCTCATGCTGAGAGATAAGCAGATGTATGTGTCTGAGAAAATATCATTGTATTAAACTCTGTGAATGTGCGAGACTTCTGGTTCATTACTGCTATAGGGAAATAACAAGAAGAATAACAAAGTGCAGTAAAGAGTAAAACTGTTCGTGCTACAAACCAGTGTGTTCATAATTAAGATAATACATTCAAATAATATGGTCAAAAACACCAGTGTGCAATATCAAGCAGCAAAACTAGAGGTTTTGCACAGCTAAAATAGCTGGAAGCAGATAACACCGGAAGCCAGACACATTAAATTTACAAATGGCCACGAGAAAAATAAGGTGGATTCTCTGTTTTTATTTGAGCTCTATTAGTTGATTCTCTTGCCGTTCACTGTTGCTGTCAGGAACTATTTTTTTGGCAGAAGGACAAGATTTAACGAACTTGAAAAAAAGTTACTTTTTTGGTTTTAATATTTTTCGTTGTGGGGTAACTATTTTATAAAAGCAATAAGGTACTCAAGGCGTGGCTTATTGTGAATAAATCACGGTTGAAGGGGTTGCAGGCCTAACAACGCACTTCAGCCTTGACTTATTCCACAATACAGCATGGCCTCTCATGCCATATCACATAACACATATCAGATCAAAAGTGAAAACGTCAGATTCAATGTCTTAAAAAAAAAAAAAAAGATTTGGGCCATTCAACAGCACTGGGAACTTGGCCTCTGTAAAGGCTGTTCCTTTTATTAACAAAAGGTTTAGATGTGCTTATCTTACCATGGTGGGATAGAAGATGACAAAAATGGCCGATCCCACGAGTGCAGTCGGTCCTAAGAAATAGATGGTGTATGACAGACCCAAAATCCCAACGAGAGGCCCTCCAGCCAGCAGACAGCCCACCGAGACGGCCTCGTACAGACGCTGTCCATCACTGGAGCAAATGTTTACCAGCTGAAAGAGTAACAGGATGAGTCACCCAAACTAAAACATGGCACGCTTAACCCGCATCAGCGCTGGCACAGTGCATTAGCGTCATACAGCACTCAGGCCTCACAAACACAAGCCCAGTTTGGTTTTAAAGAGCCAAAAGGTCACATGAAAAAGTGAGCTTAAACTACGCAAAGACCTGAACCCTCTCAGATGTCATGTTCCCTTTACATTCAAGTGAATAAGGCATGACCTGAGAAGCTGTTCGAAGCTTGTTTACAAAAGTGCTGCTCCTAATGAATAGTTTAGTGTTTATTACGGGAGTATTAGCACACGGTTCACCTCTCCTGTGCTGATGTCTTTAGTGCTGCGTAGTCGCAGGATCTTCTGGAAGGCGAAAGTGAGCGCGGCTCCCCGGAGGCGTGCGGCCGTGCGATAGCTGACAGCCCACACTAAAGCCAGAGACCAGGAGCGTGTCAGCTCCAGGAGGAAAATCCCGGCGACCAGAGCCAGACCATACAGCAGCTTCACCTCTGCGCACTGAGAGTACTCCAGCAGGGCTCGGATCAGCAGAGCCTGAGAATAACAGCACACAACCAGGATGCTGAGCGAGGAGACAGCTGTAAGACTTCACTGAGTTTTTGTTTTTATTTGAGCAGAATCAGAATTACACGAGGAGGGATTCAGAGGTGAGCTTTGAGGTTTTATGGTATCAGAACATCCTTTGACTTGCGCTGGGGTCGTGGGATCAAGTGCTGCTTCTAAGAAAACACTAGAAAACACTTTTTCTTTGACTCCGTCTCAAACTATTCTCGTTCTAATTATAATCCAGTCTGGTCCTGGAATGCTAATTGTTCAGTACAGTTGCACTGCGCATCGTATTGCTAAAAACTGAATTCATAAATAAAGAAATTAATAAAAAAATAATTTATCATCCTCAGTCACTTTTCAAATTGCTCCTATGCCACTGAAAAAATTAATTTTTCATTTTTTGAAAAAGATAAATACTTTTATTCTGTGAGGACCTATTAAATTGTTTAAAAGTGACAAGAAAAGACATTTAAATGTACTTTTTTTTTTTTTTACATAAATGCTGTTCTTCTGAACTTTCTATACAGCAAAAAATACAAAAAAGACCTTATGCCTTATTTTTTAAAGAATAATAATTTTATTCAGTAAGGACCCAATAAATTGATCAAACGTAATGGTAGAAGACATTTCTAAAAATATATATTTTAAATAAATGCTTTTCTTTTGGACTTTCTATTAATCCTAAAAAACAAAAACAAAATGGAAATGGAATTGGAAAAATTAATTTGTCATCCTTAATCACTTTTCAAATTGTTTGTATGCCTTTGACCAAATCAAAACGATCAAAAGTGATGCTAAAACATTTATAATATATATTTTAATAAATGCTGTTCTTTTGAACTTTCCATTCATCAAAGGATCCTGAAAAATAAAACATATCATGGTTTCCACAAAAATATCAAGCAGCAAAAACTGTTTTAACATCAATAATCATAAAAAAATGTTTCTTAAGCACCAAAACTTTGCCATCACACAAATAAATTACATTTTAAAATATAGTCAAATAATAAAACAGTTATTTTAATTTGTAATAATATTGCACAATCTTACTGTTCTTACTCTATTTTTGATCAAATAAATGCAGCCATGGTGAGCATTAGAGCCTTATAAAACATTTCAAAATCTTACCGACCCCAAACTTTTGAATGGTAGTGTAAGCCTGAAATAATTTGTGACCCTGCAGCACAAAAGCAGTGTTAAGTCGCTGGGGTATATTTGTAGCAGTAGCCAAAAATACATTGTATGGGTCAAAATTATAGATTTTTCTTTTATGCCAAAAATCATTAGGATATTAAGTAAAGATCATGTTCCTTGAAGATATTTATTAAATTTCCTACCGTAAATATATCAAAACTTAATTTTTGATTAGCAATATGCATTGCTAAGAACTTCATTTGGACAACTTTAAAGTTACTTTTTTTTTTTTTACATAAATGCTGTTCTTCTGAACTTTCTATTCAGCAAAAAATACTTCACATTGACCTTATGCCTTATTTTTTAAAGAATAATAATTTTATTCAGTAAGGACCCAATAAATTGATCAAAATGGTAGAAGACATTTCTAAAAATATATATTTTAAATAAATGCTTTTCTTTTGGACTTTCTATTAATCCTAAAAAACAAAAACAAAATGGAAATGGAAAAATTATTTTGTCATCCTTAATCACTTTTCAAATTGTTTGTATGCCTTTGACCAAATACATTTTTCAAGTTTATTCAGTAAGGATCCATTAAAACGATCAAAAGTGATGCTAAAACATTTATAATATATATTTTAATAAATGCTGTCCTTTTGAACTTTCCATTCATCAAAGGATCCTGAAAAATAAAACATATCATGGTTTCCACAAAAATATCAAGCAGCAAAAACTGTTTTAACATCAATAATCATAAGAAATGTTTCTTAAGCACCAAAACTTTGCCATCAAACAAATAAATTACATTTTAAAATTGCACAATCTTACTGTTTTTACTCTATTTTTGATTAAATAAATGCAGCCATGGTGAGCATTAGAGCCTTATAAAACATTTCAAAATCTTACCGACCCCAAACTTTTGAATGGTAGTGTAAGCCTGAAATAATATGTGACCCTGGAGCACAAAAGCAGTCATAAGCCGCTGGGGTATATTTGTAGCAATAGCCAACAATACATTGTATGGGTCAAAATTACAGATTTTTCTTTTATGCCAAAAATCATTAGGATATTAAGTAAAGATCATGTTCCTTGAAGATATTTATTAAATTTCCTACCGTAAATATATCAATTCTTAATTTTTGATTAGCAATATGCTTTGCTAAGAACTTCATTTGGACAACTTTAAAGGTGATTTTCTCAATATTTCCAGATTTTCAAATATCTCGGCCAAATATTGTCCTATCCTAACAAACCATACATCAATGGGAAGCTTATTTAATCAGCTTTTTTTTTTTTTTTTTGATGTATAAATCTCAATTTCGAAAAATGTACCCTTATGACTGGTTTTGTGGTCCAGGGTCACATATTTGAGTATTTACTTGAAGCCATGGACAGGAGTAGTGAGGACATTTTGAATTTATGACATGAAAAGCGTGCTAAAATGTACTGCAAATAAACATAAGAGCTGCTGAGACTATGGCTGACCCATGCAACACTAAACAAATCAACGCAAGGAAATACAGTAAGCGTGCTATTTTGTAACATGTAATCCCTGATAATGCTATTAAGCGAGTGCTGTCAGGGGCATGTGCGGCCTTGTGTGGGGAAATAAAATTAACAGCTGCGTTCCCAACAGCATCGCAGTAAGAAACTCCCAGCTACACCAAAATAAATCCCCTCATAGTGAAACTAATAAGATCAAAAATGTGTGTGTGTGTTTTTTTTTGAAGAATTTTTTTAATCCGAACTCGAAATCACTCTTTGTTGAATAAAGATCTAAGCTCATTTGGCAACAGAAATAAAGCAGCAGGCAATAACGTGAATAATATGAATAACATGACTCCTGGACCATGGAAAATCCAGACACACGTCACAATCCTGTGGATTAATACTAGTTTGAATTACGAGAAGGTATGAAAAATCTCTTTTTTATATTACGATTTTAATTTTGAGCCTGCATGAGCTGCAAATATAATCTCTCGATTGATCCCTTGAATATAAAACTGTTCATAAATGTGTGCAGGTATGTTTTCTGTGTGAAGCAGGAAAGTGCTGAACCATCACAGTGTTGTTCATGCGCAGTTAAAGTGACCGTTCATCCATGAATTTACTTCCTGTAATCGTTTTTGCACTAGGGGTGAGCGATATGGACAAAAATATTATCACAATATTTTCCCCATATCATACAATATCAATATTTATCACTATTCATTTACCATTAATGGGGAAGGAAATGCTTTCCACATGTTTGTTAGACCTCGAGAATGAATGTAAAGATAATTTGTTTGTTCACAATTAAATGCCACAGAGCTTTTAGTTTAGGGCTCCGTGACATCTGTTTTATTTCCCACTAAATTTAGTTTTCCATTTTATTTATTATCCCCCCCCCCCCCCCCCATGCAAAACTCAAAACAAAAACAAATGAAAAGGTTAATACTGACGCAAAAAAAATATGTGAGACAAATTTGACATTTTCTGTATTATTCAATTTAGCCACCCATTTTCACAGCTCCAAGAATAGCCACAAGGGTAGAGTGAGATTTGGGGAGAGGGGGAAATATAAAAAAGTAAAGACTAAAAAGCTTTAAAATATTCCTTGTTGCAAACAAAGTTCTCCAACGCCTTGGACCACTCCACTGTACAACAGGGAAATATGCCTTGATTATCTTTTTTTTTTTTTTTCCCCCCCCCCCCCCCCGGATTCTCTGTTTTATGATTCAATACAAATTTCTCATAAAAATGGTGTCTAATTAAACAAATTAATAACTTTAATTAAAAATGTAATCAGTCTTTTAAAATGCAATAAAATTAAAACATAATTTACAACAAGCATTTTTATTTTTTGTCAAATACGATGCTGCACAACAGCGCTGCATAACTATAAATTAATGAATAAAATCCTTGCTTGCATGAAATTCTTTAAACATACTATTACTGTTATTATTACTTTGAGAATTATATTTTAGTACACAATAGTAATATATTTCTGTAATAATTTCTTCTAGTTAAAACAGACTTTTATTTTGACGGGTTTCAGTTTTACTTTCAGTGTCGGGTGTGTTTTTGACTGTAGTTTTTTTTCTGCTGTAAAGCTCCTGAAGTGACCCTCAGAGCAGCTCTGAAGATGAAGTTCATGTATTCATGTCCTCATATATCAACTTACATTTTATTGCGATCTCGATATCATACAGTTTATTATAGTTGTACCCAGCCCTGTTTTGTCACCCCACTTGATTTATATTGTGACACACACAAAGAAAATCTTCACACAGTTTTTTTAATTCAACAACGATTCATAATGATCACAAGTTGCCAAGCTCCAAAGAACTATTGCATCAGAAGACTTAAATACAATGCACACATCATAACAATTTTTATGTCTAAATAATGCTTTTTGTCCTCTTGGTTCTTTTAATTGAACTATCCCATTAAGACAAACAGTTAGGGTCTGGATAGGAGAAGCAGGTCAAAGAGCAGCATGCAACCCAACACTTATGTCAGAAAGAAAATGAGGACAACTCACAGGTCCAACAAATCCAGCCACCATGGTGATGAGCAGGGAGAAGATGGCCACCAGCATACGGGTCTGACAGAACCTCCAGAACACCCGGGACAGAGACGCCGCGTCCTTCCCCCGTCGCTTGAGCTCCTCGTGCCACAGCCACTCCAGTCTGAATGATGCATCACCAAACACAGAGTGTTTAAACCACATGTGGACTTTTAGTGTATAAAATGAAGAACTGGGTACGTCTTTATTACAATCTTTTATTAAAGGGATAGTGCACCCAAAAACAACAATTCTGTTAGTGTTGGGCGAT